CTTGCACAAAGCAGACCGACAAATAGCGAGCGCAAACAACAAAAGTAGAAAAAATACGCAACAAAAGGATACAAAGGACTCGCCTCTGAACTGCTGCAAGTGTGGCAGCATTTCCGACGCAATTGTCAACTGCCAATTGTCAATTGTCATTTGAATGGCATTCGATTACGCGTTTTGTTTGCTTTTAATTGCAGCGTTCATCCATTTGGCTTACCAGTTGTTAGCTAGAAGCTCGCTTTTCCCAATGAAAAGCGTTTCCCTCTCTCTCTCTCACACTCTCTCTCTCTCTCTCTCTCTCTCTCTCTGGGTAGCTTGAGTCACCCAGAACAAGTATTCAGCCGTAGAATGCATTTCCTCAGCATGGTGTGCACTCAGCCATCGAATCGCTTGCCTTCACACAGATTGCCTGCATTCAAGCACATCTGCAATTCCTATTTTACAGGAGAAGTAAGCGAAAAAGTGCAATGGATACTAAACGCACGCATAAAGAAAGATACGAGAGTGTAGTGAAAGTGTGCGCATATTTGGGTTACATTTGCATTTACCTGTCTCCTGCTGCAGAAAGTCGCCCAAAGTATCCTACGTAATTGCAGCTATTCGTGCGTGCACATCATAATGATATGTGTACTCTTTTCATTTTCTTTAAATTGTGTGTGCAACCGAAGTATTGTATAAAGCTTGAAAGCACCCAAATTTAGTAATAGAAGCTATTATTGTCTCTGAGAGCTGCATATTTAGATGCTGAGATTGATTTGTGTTTGGCAATATGTGAAGTTTTTGTGGAGAATAACTTAATTGTTGGCATCTATAATACCATACCAAATTTGACTTGTGGCTAAGTGCTCTGAGATTTTCCGAACAACAAAATTGTTTATACTTAAATGTATACATATTTTATCAGCTTAACAATAATAAGTATTCAGATATTTAGTTTAGGTACTCTAGTGCTTGCGGTTTCAAAGTTCCTCAAGTTAATTAAGACAGTTCTATTAATACCCTTTCAATTTATATACCCTGTAAGCTACATAGCCTTGTTACTACACTCTATTTTTATAGTCCTTCGCTGGGCAGAGATAAGAAAGTACTGAATTGAAAAAAATATTATTTGTATATCCAAGATACTCAAATATCAACATTTGATGAATCGAATACTGCTTTCCTACTCATAAAATCGTTGCAGAAGTAAGAAATTATATTGAAGAAAAAATAAATAAATAGTTAATTCAGGCACATAAAATCCTGGATCTAACGCCAGCTAAATTCTAGCTAAAATTAGAAATATAAGAAAAGCATAATCACTAAATCAAATATCGACAAAGAAATTGCCAAAGTTCACATTTCCACTCAAAAAATTCTGTTTATTAAATTTACAAGCTGTAACTTTTATAATGCTTGAGTTAAATACTTTCAGAGAATTTCTAAGCTGTTTGAACAGCAAATAGAGCGGAAGCAATCACAATTCCAGATTTATAAGCATGCATTTTTAATATGTTTTTATAAAAATGTAGTTGTTGGGCTCGGAACCAGAGGGCCACCAGCGCCATAAACATTTACAACTTGCGAGTGAGTCACATAATGCGAAACACTCAAATTAACAGCTTTGAATTGTGTGTGTGTGCGTGTGTGTTGGGCGGGAAGGTAAATTATGGGAGGTGTGGTGTGGTGTGGGGCATGTCTGACACATGTGCTGCCTAAGGGGCTGCGATTTCATGAGCCTTGGCAGCAGACATTGCAGAGCAAGTCGGTTGTGCGACATAAAGTATATTTTGATTATTTGTTGAGCCAAAAGTTGACAATTTTCAGGCCTGGTCGGCCCGGGCAATGCCAGCATTTGCATTTTAAATTCGGATTTAACGGCGATGCTGACGCAGGATCTTTCTGCCAAGTGGCAAGTGGTGAGTGGGGCATGGAATTGACTGGAAATGCCACAAATGGCGTGTTAACACAACAAAGAGGTAATAACAATAGCTGCCACCCCGCTATTTGTGTGTGTGTTTGCGGCATTCCTGCAGGATCCGTTACCAGATCCTGCGCCCGCCGCCCGCACTCTGTAAACATTTTTACTAGCTGTTGTTGTTGTTTCTTTATTTTTGTTTTTTTATGCGGAAGCTGTGTCAATACACGATAAATTGAACTGTGCAAGAATTTATGTTGGCACTTTGTGCGAGCGCAACATACCAACCTCACACACACCACATTGCCTTTGCTGGCGGCAGAAGCAGGCCTCGCCCGCGTCCTCTAGGGACTTAAAAAGTTCAATAATATTTATTTATTTGTTACTTGCTCTTTGACAAAAGCACACAAGATTAGGACCGAAGCCCTATATATCACGCCTCGCATATTGGGTCAGATTTAATGGCGTTGCGTAGTTTTATTGTCACACAGAGCACAGACAGGCACACACTCACACAAACACACACAGAGACCAACAATGAGCAGCATCCTCCTTGTGGCAGGACACGCAGTAAATTAAACGACGAGACAAAGACGCCGCAAAGAATTCAAAAGCCCAAAATGCTAAGTTAATTTAAGGCGCCCATGTAAAGTGGTCTGCTCTTTGATTTAGGGCCCGCAATTTGTAGCGCTGCCATTTCGAGTATAACAAAGGCACATGAAAAGGCTATCGATAAGGTGCAACACGAATAACCGTATCCTGTGGCCAAAACTAATCTGTTGAGCTTGGACTTGATTTAAGGCTAACTCTGCAGTTGGCTTTAAAATGTTGCCGAACCCAAAAGTCCTGACATATGCTAGAAATTGCTTTTAGATATACAATGAATGAAAAGTTAGTTTTATTCCAACATAAATATTCTAAAACTCAGCGTTAAGCTTGCAAAAGAGTTTCTTAAAATTTCAACTATTCCACTTTTCTCAGCTCTGTTCAAAAAATCGAGAGCCGGTTAAAAATATGCGGAATTTGTTTTTCTCTTATTTATAATTCATTTTATATTTTCGACTAAATTAAAGTAAGAGAAATCTTGTTATTATTTTATTAGAAATATAAATGTAATATATTCACAAAAGAAAGGTTTCGGTTTCTTGGCTAGAGTGGTCTTTTTATGATATATTAGCCAAATGTCTTTTAGCTAGATCCGTTTCTCAGTTCAGTTAATATTTAACAGATGTAACATGCATTTAGCTGAGCAAGCATATGCCATTCCAGATCCATTATTCCAACTCAAATATATATTAACTCTTTTATAAATAAAAGGCGTTAGTATAATTTACTGCTAGCTCACAAAGTGCAACTAAGCATTGAGCAAATAAATTTCAAATCTATTGTAAGCTCCATTTGGCCACGGCTAAGTCCTTGAGGACATGCGCAGAGCAAACAGCCGGCAAATCGGAAAAGGAGAAACAAATGCCACATGTTTCATTCCGAGCCGAGCCGAGCCCCGCCACAAGAGAAAAACTGGGATGAAACAAGGCGGAGAAGCAGGCAAGAGTCTGTGATGCGAATGCTGGAAACTGGAACAGGCGGCATCAAGCCGACAGATAGCAGACCCAACGGGGCAGCACGAGTTTCCTGCCGCTAGTTGCACGCGATTCAGTTGAAAATTTGCATCCTCGGCGAGCGGACGTGACACGCAGTGCCAGAAGCAGGATCAAAAGCGGAAGTCAACTTGTCGCGTATAACTGTGGTCTCGAGACTCAACTCGTGCGAGGCGCCGACGTCTGCCAAAGACCTTTGTTTATATGAGAACAGAGACTGCAAAGTGTGCCAGAACTAGGTGCAAAGCGAAAGGAAACGGCCATGGCAAAGCTATTTTAAAGCACCGGAAACTGAACCGAACTGAAGACAAAGTAAAAATACTTACGCTGTGTGTGCTTGTGTGTGTGTGTGTGTGTGTGTGTGTGTGTCCCTTGGTGTCCTGAGTGTCCTGGCTGAGTCAGCAGCGTGTTGGCTTGGTAAGTGTCTCTTCTGGCCCAAATCACTTTCGAAATTTGTTTGTTTCTGTTGTATTAAAATGGATATTAGAATGGCGCACAAAATGTGCAAAGGAAGCGCCCAATAAGAAATAGAAGGACAAAAATTGAGAAAGAACTGCGGCCACAATGTCGTAAAAAGGGATTATTGTGTATCGTCCTGGCAAAATACTCGCCCTGCTCTTCTAAAAAAAAGAAAAAAAAAAGAACATAATAAAAACTTGAAAAATATTTTCAACGCGGCTCAAACGAACTCAACTGCAAATAAACTCTCACGTGTTAAATCCCATTAAATCCCGTTAAATGTATCAGTAAAAATAATAATAAAAAAAAAAATAGATTATAATTTATTTAAATCAACCCATGCATGGAAAATGTGTGCCAGCTGTAAATCTCATTGAAAAGCGTAAGACCTGTTAAACAGTGTAAATGCCGCAACTTTCGAAATCTCTTTTGTGAAAAACTTTGCCCATAACTCATGGGAAAATAGGGTTCGCGCTAGTTTGGCATATGGCACGTGTAATTTACGCACCTCGCGATTTATCCAAAGAATAGTTCAAGTTTTCTTAAATAGAATTTAAAACTGGCTGATTATATGCAAATTTTATGATTTATAGCTATCAGATCTATCAAAAAGTTTCACTAAAGTTAAGCTGAGCATAGATATATTTAGGTGCAGGGAACTGTAGAGAGCTAAAAGTTTGGCAAGAAATTAATCAGAATAATCCAAAATCTAACAACAAAAGAAAGCCCAGAATTAATAAAAAAGAAAAAGATTTTACAGTTTAAGGAATAGTCGCAATTTATACTTATAAAGCTTAAAGGACACTATAATAAAGCTCAGCATGAAACTATAATAATAAAAACGAATTAAACAATAAATAAACAAATAATTTAATAACAAATACAGTTCGAAAAAAAAAAATTATAGCAAACTTAAAAGACAAGATACTAAAGTTGTTCATGTAACTATAATAATAAAAACGCAAAAAAATAAAAACAAATAAAATTGCAAATATAATCAAATTCCTTCACGTGTTTCGTAATCATATTAATATTGATTTATGGCTTGATTGGCAAAGTGTTTCAATGGAAATAAAACAAAAATAGATCCTTTGATATTGCGCAGTAAACGCAGCAAATAGAGGAAAATTGTGTGAGATGGGAAAAACTGTAACTGGCACAAGGTGAAGCAATAAGAGAAGCAATGAAAACGCGTGCCTCAAAGAACGACACAAAACACAGCCAAAAAATATATAAAAGGCAAGTTGCATTTCGGTGAAAAGCAGCGGAAGAAAGCGACGAGAGAAAATCCCGACCCCAGCGAATTAATTCAATAAACCTATTTATCTGGGACGGCAGAGACGACTGGGACTTAAACTGGGGAATATACACATTTCGCCCAGAATGCGAAAAACTTCGCCAACCAACTGGGCGCACTGCAATCAGAACCAGAGGTCAGCAACGTGCCGAGCACTTGGAGACAATGCTCCAGCGATGGTTCCGCAAACGAGTCCCCAACGGCGGCAGACGCCGGGCAATGAGCGCACAAAATATGCTGTAAGTGTCACTGCTGCAAGGCTCTGTGCCAGTGGGACTGCCAGGACAAGCGCCAGGAAGCTGACAACTGCAAAGATGACAGCCACAGTCTCAGCCTCAGCCCCAGCCTCAGCATCAGACACTGGACAGCGGCGCCAATTTGTACGCACGGCCAGGACGATGACTTGGCAACGCATCTGGCTAGCAGCTCAGCTCCTTGTGCTGTTCGACTTGGGAACGCGTAAGTACAGCTCGGGGGCTTATGCATGTGTGTGTCTGTGTGGGTGTGTGTGACTCGTTCTGACATTTTTGATTTAATTTAATACGCCGCCCACCACCACCACACACAGACCTGACCTACGATTTTGCTGCTACAGTTTCTGTGTCATAAGCGAAAAACGTCGCTCCTGCTCCTTGACTTCTGCCCGCCCTTGAAATTGTATTACGCATATGCGTAATAATAATTCCCGGATTGCCATATGCCATATATCTGACTGGGTTTTTATATTTTCCAAGCTGCTAATTGAATTGCCTTAAGCTAATATTACTTAAGCTCAAATCATCTATGAAATTGCATTATAAGCCATTTGTCAGTTTGAGTGAGCTCAGTGAACCCCAAAATGCATTTAATTTACCCAGAAATAGGGCATATTAACAGGTAATTTTTAATTAAAGTCTAATAAGAATATTAATATATATAAATATATATACGTCTACCTAGCTGCTAAATAATTGATCAATCTATTTTAATGCAATAACTAAGTACTGAGCATCTGTTAGTCGCGCTTGCATGACTTGAGACTCGTTTTGACTCCGCGTTACACTGTGCAGTGGCTGTAGGGCAATTATAACTTCCACTCCATGAATTTACTCATTGTTTGTTTCTCTTACCGCCCGACTGCCAGTCGCACAGTGGAGCAAAAACGTAAACAAACGAAAAAGGATGCCCAAAGAAATAGCAAATATTAGTAATATTAGTTAATCGTATAGAAAGGCGCACAGGCGACAGTCTCTCGAATGCACTTTTCGACATGCTCCGGCCCACTGTGCGCGTATCAAATTTCAGGACCTGTGACCCTTCGGGCAGTCATGCAAGAGTCGAGCCTATTAACTTTATGGAGAAGCAACGCGTTTCAGTTCTTCCGTTTCGTCAAGCGTAGCGTAAAATAATTAAATTTATTTTACCTGTGCGGGCTTTAATCCGTTTATAGGGCCACTTAACACGTGCGTGTTATATAAATGATATATATGCACATATTGTTTTTTTTTTCCTATTTTTATTGACAGTTCGAGACCGCAATTGCACTTGGATAAATAAATACCGCATGCAACTTGCAAATAGTTGGGCTTAATTTTCGTTACGTTTTTAAGCACTGGCATTATCCTTGAAATAGGCATGTTCCAGAATTTGCTCGGCCGATAAGCGACGCGCGGGTTCATAGACCATAATCCCGGCCAGCAAGTCCACGGCCGAGTTGTTACAGCCCAGGCTGGTCATTAGCTGGTTTATTTTATTGTTTGTCCAGTTGGGAAAGGTGCTCTTGAAGTCCGGCAGTGCGGACACACCCGGCCAGTTAGCCTCAGTGGGTGTGCCTAGCATGTGGAATATGCGAAACAGCTGATCTATTTCGGAGTCGCCCTGGAACAGGGGCTTCCCGGTGGCCATCTCAAAGAATATGCAGCCAATCGACCAGATATCCACCGGGCAGGCGTAACGTGGACAGCCCATCAGGATCTCGGGCGCCCGGTACCACAGTGTGACCACCTCGTGGGTGAGCGCACGCAATGGCACCTGGAAATAGCAGCTGAGACCAAAGTCGGCCACCTTGATGTGCCCGTGGCTGTCGATCAGCAAATTCTGTGGCGTAAGATCCCGATGCATCACGCGCCGGCGATGACAGTAAAGTATTGCGCTGGTCATCTGGTACAGATAACTGCACACTAGCTTCGTGTCCATCAGCTGGTTCGTTGGCAGCGCATTGATATATTGCCGCAGATCCATTGAAAGGTATTCGAGGATCAGGTAAATGCTGCTGTCCACCATCAGCACATCCTGCAGCGCCACAATGTTGGGATGCTTCAGCTCCTTGAGCAGCGATATCTCACGTATGGCAGTAGCGGGCATGCCCTCCTCGCCGGCAATGCGTCGCACTCTCTTCAGGGCGACTATCTTGCCGGTTAGACGATTTAGTGCCTTGTAAACAACGCCGTAGCTGCCCTCGCCAATTTTTTCCTGTTTCACATATTGCTCCATATCGATGTTTTAGGCATGTGCTGGGATATGACTATATTATTTAGAAGGCATTCTCCTATTATTACGCATGATTAGAGTTCGGCTGGCTTAAGCTTAAATGCCAAAAAACGGGCTGCCTGCAACGGCGATTTATTTAAAAATATCGATAGTTTGTTTGTAGTGCGATGACTGACACTATCTCGGCGATGTATCGTATAGAACACTTTTTTAGTTAGGCTACAGCAAGAAAAAATAAATTGTAGCTTCAATCCATGCGATAGTTCTTATTTTTTTCTTTCACATAAGAATTCTAAACACGACACACCGCGTATTCCGACGGAAACCAATCGGAAATCGTAAAAGAATTAAGAGTGTATTAGAAGAGTTAGAAAAGTTGTTTCGTGCGTGCTTGAAAAAGTTAGTTTCGTGATCGTGTTGGCCCTCTCGCATCTTTACTTTAAGTTGACCTTTCTTGTTGTATCTTGAATCGTTGGAAAAATTATTCGTCTTAAGGATTATCTTTATTATTATATATTGTATCCGAAATTGTTGCATGGAAGAAAAACGGTTCTACGGATCGTTTTCAGATGAAATTTAAATTATTAACAGACGTGCGCACATTTCAATATAAAAGTTTGAAGCGTTCGGCCCCCCAATGGGTTATGCCCATTGCGCTGCCAATCCACTTGGCCATAATTCATGAGCCGCAGTTGTGAGTTCCTTAACCCGACTGCCCTCTGGAGCACCATTGTACGGTTAAATGGGAAAAACCACTTACAACTGCAACTGGCTACGGGTAAATGGTAAATGGCCAATAGCGAATGGCGAATGGCGAATGGTAGCTGACCAATATGCAGGGCAACAAAAATAAAACAATAAATTGCTGCACATGCAGAGAACAGCTTGGCAAAGCTTTGAAAAATGCGCTGAAAACATTAACGAAATTGAAAGCTTGCCAAAAACAAAAAGAAGCAAAAAATGTTTAATAAACACATTTTCAAATGGCAAAATTTTGTGAATGCGCCGCAAGGCGTTCTATGGCGAGGATGAGCACATGCTCATCCAAATTCAAGGACCAGCAGGATAAAAAGGGGATTGCTGCCCCAATCCCAGTGCGCTTTCATAAAAGTTTGAGTGCAGCTCGTTATGCCAAATAAGTGAAGTTTGTCTGCTGCTTTTGTATAAATTTTGTAATATTAAGGGATTTTGTGCTCGTGCATGCGCTCGTGCTCGTGCTCTGTGCACTTGGCTAATTTGGAGAATGTGCCAAAGTTTGAAGCCACGCTCTGCCACAATTTGCAGCTGGAACGTCTGCACTCTGCGGTCCGACAGGCAATCGAAAAATGCTTAGCAACGCCACGCCCCCTAAATGGTAAATCCTTTAATGCCCCGGTCCAAGTGCTGCAGCACCAATTGGGTCATCCCCATTTTGCCAGAGGCCAAAAGTGTTTGTTTACCTTCATAAATTATGAATCTACAACCCACATGTTCTGGGCCATGCACATGGGCACATGTCGGTTGACCTCTGTCGCTGATGCCGGTGCTCCTGCTGCTGTTGTTGCTGTTGTTTCTGCTGATGTTGCTGTCGCCAGTCTGTGCCTGAAGTGTTGCCCAACAAGCAAGCAGCTACGTAAAAAAAAGAGAAGAGCAAAATTCAGCTGAACTCAACCGAACCGAGCCTTGTCGTACCGGAACGCCAGCTGTGAGCTGTGCAGAGCTTGTGCCACATCCTGTCTGCATCCGAGTATCTAATATTTTGCTTTATGGCGCACAGTGGTTCGGAATATGACAAGCTGGTATAGCTTACATCTCTATATATAAAACTGTTTGTCCTGACTGACTGACTGATTGGCAACATTTAGAATTTATTTTAAACGTGCCACAGGAAAGGCCGGAGTAGAGTATACTTATATACAAAACGTATTTACAAGTAGTTTCCTTTCGCAATTTTACTGCAAAGCTAATACGACTAAGATGGTCTGGATTTAAATTTTTTGTATTTTCATAATGTATTCAGTTCTCATTTTAATCAATTCAGTATATAGTTTGATTATCTGACTTGCTGGCATTCAAATTTTGAACACACAACATCAAACTCAACCCAGCCAAACGATTGCAAACACCATGAGCATGTGAGAGCTAAGGTGTCTTAGCGTCGAACCAGCAAGCCTGTCGTCGGTTTCAATTCAGCAGCAAATTTGCATTTACATCATTTGTTTTTATTCACAAAGATCAAGGCAATATTTATAATTCAAAAACAAATATAAATTGAAAATATATGGGAGCTGTTAATAATAATAACATAATTACTTACAAGATAAAATTAAATATTATTAAATATATCCCAATAGACACTTATCTTATCTTAGCTGTTACCACTGTGCATTTAGTCGTACGCTCTAAACTAACAATTTGGTTTAGGGTCCACGCCTCTGGCTGTTCTTTTGGTTTCAAAAATGGGCTGGACAGGCGTAGGGCTTAAATTATTCAGAGGGTTTGCGTTGACGCCGTTGACGGCGCTGAAGTCGCTGCGAGCAATCAAAGCGTAAGCCAGAAGGCGCAAGGCGAAACACATGAGCGGAAAACTGTGAAAAACAATGGAAAACAATGGCAAAATGACAACAACAAAGACGACAACAACAACAACAACAGCAAGTGTGTGGTATTAGTGGCAGGGTCGTGTAATTGCTGAAAAATAGGCGAAGTGGCCACCAGATGACAAAGTGCAGTCGACCAAAAGTCAACGAGTCTTATGAGGGCTGCCTCCAACCCTCCCCTCTTGGTTGAAGTGTGAAAATACCCCCCAAAAATAACTAGCAAAAATGCCAGAGCAATATCGGTCTATATGTAGGCACAGGTTCAGTTTCGAGGGCCAACGTTGAAATTTATGAAATATTCCCAGAGCACATGCCGACAGACGACAACGGACGGGCGACTGGCGACGGATGAGGACCGACAGCCGTGCTCGGCCCAAAGCCAGATGAAAAATGTTTTGTTTTGGCGACGTTGGAACTTATTTATGAGCTGTGCCGCCGGCGGCATTTGTTGGTCAGCGGCGGGTGGGCGACGGTAGGTGTGGCAGCCTGTGGGTGGGTCAATGTTTCGGTAACCAGCAATAAAGGCGAGCGGCGCAATAAAAAGCATTGCGGAAGCGGAGTGGGGCCAAGCACAGATAATGTAATGTCCTGCAGATTCGCATAATTATTTTGCTTGATTTATACGCAACCACTTGGGAGTCGTCCTCAGAGGCCACTGAATTTGCTGAACTTTATGCAACAAAGCTAAACAAAACAAAATCAACTCGATTCAAATGTGCGCAGTTTATTGCTCAACCTTTCGCATAATCAAAGCCAAAATGCAAATATCTCGTATTTAATAATTTGGTTTGTCAGTTTACAGAATATTTTCGCTGAGTTCTTTTCGATTTTCAATTACAATCAGTCGGTTGCCACGTGATGCGCATCTGTGAGCTGATTTCTCTACACAATTCGCATTGATTTGGATAAGATTTTGAATGGGATAGATACCTGTAGGAGGTAAGATATAAAATACAAAAGCATCTCTCTGTGAAAAGTTGAAGTATCCCAAAATGCAAAATCAGAAGCTATTTTATGACAGAAAACTATTTATAAGATTCAAAGGCATCTAAAGAGATAAGATGCAAAAGTATCTCCGAGATGTTAAAGTATCTCAATGATGCAAAACTAAACGTATGTACAAAAGTATCTGAACGTTACAAATTAAGTGATAAAGAGACATATTTTTTATTTACAAACATTCTTGTACATATCAGAAAAATACCTTTGTATGCCAAACACCTTACAATTTTGTATATTCGAATATTTTTAAATTTAGATAGATTCTTTTGTGTCTCACATATACTTTTGTGTCACAGAATTGTGTGTGTTTCAGAGATACTTTTGTATCCCTTTGATATATTTATCTTTTCCCTTTGATTTATTTGTATCCCACAGATATTTTTGGATCTTAGAGTTTCTTGCGTATCTCAAAGTTACCCATGCATCTGCTATATCACAGATATTTTTAATTTTAAGACTTATTTTGTATCTCACTGATTCTTTCTCACCACAGGAATTTTTACGTCTCACAGTCATTTTTGTATTGCTTTGTCACATTTGTAACACACAGATACTTTTGTATCTCACATTGTTCTGTGTTAGTCATTGTACAAATACATTTTAATTGGCCAACCACACGTAGTATCAAATACGTAATATGTTTGTGACTTCTATGCTATGACGTAAATATTTCTCACTGCTTTGTAATATTAATATTATGTGGGCCTTTGATGTAGGAGCGACAGGCAATGCGACTGGCGCTGCTTTCAGACACATTCATAAGAACGTGGTGAAGTACGCGCACGAGTACGGTGCGTATATGTAATGGAACGCTGGGCAATGCTCCAGTTTCAATTTGCGCTGCTAAAACTGAAGCCAAAGGCGAGAAGAAACTTCTCCTTTGCCACACGTAGCGACCAAACATGATGCCATAAAAATAAATTGAGGCAGCCGCTCCACACCAAAAAGCAAGAGTATAGCATAAAAACAAAAAGCGCGAAAGAGACAGGCAGACAGACAGACATACGGACACTGAGACAGAAAGAGAAAAAGAGGAAGAGCATCCTTCATGCCCCATGCCCTGCGAGCTGTTAGGCTGCTATTGAATTTCGAACCCGCCCAAGGAGCGCGGCTGTTGCCGCTATTTGTTTGTGTTGGCGTATCGTATATACATATTTTAACTGTGACACCCAACATATGTTTCACTCTGAATGACTACAAGAAAATTGTTGAAGCAATTTTCACTAAACACAACATTCAACAGCAGCAGCGGCAGCAGACGACGCCTCTGCTTGCCTGCAACCCCTCAGCCGTCCACCCACAGAGCCACCCACTGAAACGCCCACTTACCCATACGCATGCAAATGTATCTTTAATGCGTAGACAGCATTTTGTATTTGCTTGGCATTCGTATAAGTACAATTTACCATTTAATGTTATGGCGGCCCTTGCCCTTTGCCACCCCCTTGCAGGCAATAATGTTTATTTTATTTATTTATAGGTTGCCGGAAAAAAGACGCTCGTAATTGCTTATTGATCGATTTTGTAA